TATCAGCCATCATGCTGCAGAAGAATATCATTCAAATGAAAGAATTTCGATGAACGAGCAATAAAAAGAGAGTATAGCAGATTCTCATCGTTTAGAGTGAGCTATTATGGCACAGAGTTATCAAAGCGTAAATTCCAGTCATCAGCTGTCTCATTTTAGACAGAATTTTCAATAATGTATCCTTTGAAACTACTTGGTGGTCCCGAGGAGTGCTGATTAAAGGTATAAGTCAGTACTCTCGCTATACATTACACGGAATAAAAGTGAAAAATGTCCTTTCGCGCTTATTGTCTGAAAGATAAGCTGATAATTTCCGCTTTTACAAGTGCCGGTTTCAATCTGACACGAGGTTAGGGGTACATTACACCATAATATTCAGTACATGTCTAAATGATACAATTTTTTGGATAAAAATCACCTTGAGTTCTATGGTAGTGTGCATCAAGCAGTGATAGCCACTGGAAATCTGTTTCGTCTTAGTATGAGACTCTCTAGCCGTACACACCCAAGACCCCCCTCAGCGACTGAACCTAGTGACTGGAGGTCTTGCAGCAGGTGCGTTACCACTTGGTCACTGGGTGGGAGTTCAATAGTTCACAGTTTCTTACGTTACTGATGTCACTTCTTGATGAATACTACCTTGAACTAAATAAATCCCTAAAAACCTTGAAGAAATTCTAAACAGACCAGTTACTCATACTCAGCAGAACTATACTTATGACGGTGTCTCATTTGAAAGTAGATAACGCCGTCAGACTTCTTTATTGTACTCAGAAGACTGAAAAAACATGCAACTCAGACAACTTTTTGGCTCAGTTTGTGGTACATTAAAAAGTAGCTAGTTTGTATCCTGCTACAATTCTGCCGACCTTGATTGCATTATGTACACGCCGGCAAATAAAACGTGAAAATTGAACTGAAGTATGTCGTTTCAAATCATCATTACTTCATGGAATCACATGAAGATGAAGTAAGTGGAAGAAGAATGATATTTAGATATCTAAGATCGTGAGAGAGGAAGAGAAATCAATACATGAACGTTAGTAAATATCTTTAAAGCTTCAAAAATGACAAAAAAATGTATGTATATTCACTGTTCTTGACTGATTTGAAAGCCTATTAACGAAATTCTCCAACTATGTATTCCTAAAGCTTTCACAATACCACCCAAGCAACTTAAATTACGCTAAATGGCTAAAACTGACAAACAGAGAGTTGGTGAATTGGCAACATCTCTTAGCTTGGCGATTCTAAGCTCTTTAAAGCCTTGATCATACTTCGGTTTACAGCATGCCTTGTTCATCTTTTTTCTAGACGACATCATTAGCACCAACTTCAGTATGAAGTGAGCTGCCAACAAATTTTACAACTTCACAATGTTAAAAATCATGTAAATGCCTTGGTTATGTGTTGAAATAGTGGAAAATATCTGTAGCTCAGGTGGATGGTCTTGGTTGCATTGTGTTTTCTGAGTTGGGTTGTTGAATCGTGAAGCTTTCATCGTCTTTCTAGACGATGATGTCACGACATTTCATCAATCATTTCAATGCACGTGGATAACAACTATGGACATGAATTCAATTTTGACAATGTAGAAACTTTGGAGAGAGAGAGGAAACACGAAGTACACCATCAGAGAATTCGTAGAAGCATTGGCATTCAGATTAGTCAGTAATCAATAAATGAAAAGGCATAGACCCAATCTATCAACCAATAAGAAAAGTGACAAATGACAGAAAGGTCAGAGGTCAAGCAGAGTGACAGCCAACAGGAAAATCTATGGAGTCAGTCAATGACACAACAATCAAAGGAGGCAACCATTCACAGACCACTTCGTCCAGCCAAGCTACTAAATCACTCATGGAGAGATACTGACAACTCACTTCATAGTGAAGTTAGTGTTGATGATGTCGTCTAGAAAGAAGATGGAAGCTTCACGAGAATATAAAACAGCAAAGACTATCCACCTCAGCCACTATTTCAACACATGACCAAGGCATTTACATGGTGTTTAACATTGTGAAGTTGTTAAATTTGTTGTTTAGATTTTATAATAAGGTCATTTTGTCAGTTTAATGTCATACATTTATCATTTTTAAGTTAGTAGAATAATTAGACTGAATTAACGGGACAGAACTACATCAAAAAAATAAGTTCTACAATAGAGAGAAAACATACGTTTACTGACAGATAAGTTCGAGGTATAAATCTACGTTCAGCTTATTTATATATTTGACAATCAACCAATGAGTTATGAGATTATGCTTTTCGCCACCTGTCCATGTTTTCGCAGTGACGGTACGGTTCATGGTGTGGCGGATGCTACTGACAAGAATAGGTATAAGTAGTATATATTGAGAGGTTGAAAGAAGTCATAGGCAGTTACAAGCAACTATAAAGTAACATGATAAACATTGTTCTACGTTTCATCCTTTGCCGTTTTCCTACAATGGCACTGAACTCTGCATCTTCAATATATTCGTTCAAACGTTAGAGGAATAGGATAACCTGCTTGATACTTCAAACAGTGAAATATCTCTACAAGTAAAATCATGGAGAGAGTAACCAATTTCGTATTGTCTAGTTTGAGGTGGTGATTGAGTTCTACCAATCATTTCACATGTTGACCTTTATCAATAATAATAATTCACTTTATTCCAAACAATTTGTAGTACAATTTGGAATTCTTAGCATGATATAGTGCAACAACAACAAAATATAAGTATATACATACTCCTTTATAACATTTCGAATAGTATTATTATAAACGTTTAAGTAAGGTAAAGGATATTATTAGCGAGGAAATTTTACATTGTTAATTAAATTATTGGAGTGAGACTGTTAACTGTTACAAAAGTGATACGAGAGTTCCGTTCTAACACCTTTTTTCCTCACAAAATATGCGTGCCAGGTAAGGTACAGTCGAATTCTTATACTTAGCTATACGAGCATACAGTCTTATGTAGTTTCTCCTTGTCCTCCCTGAGGACATACAAGAAGAGAACTGTGAATGAAGTGGATGCTCACTGTCAGTTAAAATTTCTGTAGCTAGTTGCTTGCAGGAACTTATATGTCGATCAACTACAGTGTTAATCAGTTGAGCCGGAGATACATCACTCACCCTGCTGACGGCCTTCAAAGCCCTACGCAACATAACATAGTTTTTTTTTATAAGACCAGGAAAGATTAATGGGGAACAATATAGAAGAATAGGTAAAATGCAGGAACTAATAAATTGTAAAAGAAGCAGTTGAAAGCCTCAGTTTCTTTATGTAATAAGTTAAACGAGAGATTTTTTTCACAAGTCAACAAAATATGGGACGACCAACAAAGGTCGAAAGTAAAACGCAACCCAAGATAGTTCACACTCGATTTACTTTCTGCAGAAATACCATCGATGCAGCAGGCGTTATGAGATTTAAGCAGCCCATATAGGTCTTGTTTACGCCTGAGGCTAGAATTAATAGTCTGACATTTAGAAGGGTTTAGTCTCAGACCATTTGCCACTTCAACAATGTGCATCTACGACCTGAAGGAGACTGATATCTCCTCGGAGATTCAAACGCGTTCAACCCAGTTCTACAGTCACAGAGGTTACCACTGAACTATTCTGTTCCGAATTATATATATATACATACATACATATATACATTGCTAACTGTGTGGCAAAAGGTTTTACTTTCAAAATCGAAAATGATAACTCATTCTCCTGTTGGGTCAAGTGAAAACTAAATTATTTCGATTTTACACAGTGACAACATTTGATTCAATCCAATGTTTAGCCACCTGAGCGGAGTGGCTAAACAAAATTTGGATGGTTTAAACCATTCAACTGTCTATACTGAATCACTTTAGACTCAGCAAACAAGTGAAAAGGCTGTCAGGTGTTTATGTCATTTCCAGTTAGCTAACAAGCATTGCTGACCGGTTTCAGGACTTCACGAATACTAATATAATTCTTCAGTTATCTTGATGTTATTCAAGGTGTCATGGCGTTGGTATACTGTGTAAAAGGCTATGTGGTGACCAGTAAAATAAATTCCCTAAATCTATCAGTTTACTCTGATGTTTTTATGTTGAGAAGCTTTCAGCCTGTTTTCTTGCTTAGTAACCTTTAAATAGAATTCATGCGAATAATATACATAGACTTGGTCGAAAACTGACCAGATACTAAAATTTCCACATATCCTGAGTAATTTAATGATAATTTTGACTTCCTGTTGATCATTATATTAGACCGAATAGATTGGTCTTTGATGGTGTACGTTATCTTGTGTGGATGCCTCACTATAACCTGAAAACTCATCACGATATGATTTGGATAGCACTGGAATACAGGTAACGATTTTCATCCTGTTCGGACTCGTCAGTTGACTGTTCTTGTGTCTAGTTTGGAAAAAATGTGCTTCGCGTCACTTACTAACCTAACGAGTAACATACATCGTAATGCGTGCTTTGCTCAAGTATCAATAGGAACTCCATCGTTCACTGAGACTTAAGTACATCCAGACGACGAGTCTCAGACAGGACGAAACTGTCGTCCTAGATTTAACTGCCAGCCACTTTTCTGATCATTGGATTGCAAATTCAAGTAAGGAATACTGATCGTCACTGGTAGAATCCACCTATTTAATATATTTAATTGTATCTTCTGATTCAGTGCACCTAGTGACTTAAAGTAAAGCAGTTTTACTTACAGCCTTTAAGGGATCCCAGTTTTCAATTTGGATGAAATATAGTCTTCAATTTACATGAAGCAAACAAGCAAAGGGACGAAATGCTTGTTCCTCTCCTTCTCTCTCTCTCTCTCTCTCTCTCTCTCTCTGCGTCTTTGTATGCAGGAATGTAGACTAAACTAAGGCTTCTGTTCATAAATTTATTTCAAAATTAAGACAAACTCATTCTCGCTGTTCTGTCCAGGCGGATATTAATACGTCTGGTAACCAATTCAGTCAGAAAACGAAACAGTTATATCAGAAAAATAATAGAGTAATGCTTACCGGCTATACTTTAGAATACAAAGATTTTCCACAGGAATATCACAACCATCGATGAATGAATATACAGAACCATTATTGAACAGACCATACAATTGTTGATAGCCCTCACGATGTTTAACCGTTTTAAGATATTTGATTCCATTTACTCGATCTACCAGAGTAGTTGTCACGTCTCCATGAATGCATATTAGAAAAGATGTCGATAGTTGTGAAGGCGTTGTACAATCATTTTCATTATAATCTACTTTGATTAATGTATTGGAGAATCCTTTGTTTAAAACCTGTACAATGTTCAATAATATATTTCGCTTGTTTTATTTGCCTACCTTTAATACTATATACTTCTGTTGATATTCTGGAAATAATAATGATATTAACCGGTGAATATTTTCTTCATCATCATTTCCATTAATTGTCAAATTGAAATTTGGTATCTTATTTTCTTGACTTATAATTTCATTGGGTTTTGAAGTCATGTTTGTATAGCAGAGAAATCATACTAATTGACTTTCCATTTACTACTTTAACCTTTGTTGAAGGTCGAACGATATGATTGGTTTAATTTATGTAGTGAACTTTCAATATGTGGTCCGATATGCGCATTCGCAAACATACGCACACACACAACACAAATGTTTACGTATGTTCAATTATTTCTGTCTAATTTGGTTTTCATTGTTGTATGATAATAAATGTTGGCTAGTAGGTGGGATAATGTGAATCAGTTCACTTTCATATTATTTGTACCATCGGTATTTATACTACAAGAACTTACAACTTCTCGTTGACCTGAATTCATCCCCCTTAGATAGACAATACCAATTTTAGAGATACTTGTAATTTCCAGTTGTTATACAGGTCAGAATTGCTCGACTTCTGTTGGAGGATGGGCTCCTATGCAGAGGCCTTGATTCTGCTGATTATTCATGACGTCACATTGATCTTGGTGACTAGCAGAGAAATCCAAGACTCACGTTTCGTCCTATTTGGGACTCGTCAGCTGGATGCACCTGCACCCCAGTGCCGAGTGTTGTTCCCACTGAGACTGGAACCCAGTACCCTTCACCTCAAACGCCACAGCGTTATCCACTATCTTACGGTTACATCCCAGTGGCCATGTGGGCAACGCTTTGGCATTTGAAATGTTGGGTGCTAGGTTCGAGTTCTGGGAAGGGCAACATCGCTTGACACTGGGCTGCAGGTACATACAGTTGACGAGTCCCAAGTAGGACGGGATGCGTATCCTGGGTTCCTCTGCAAGTCATCAGAACCAAGAGTACCAGGGTGTACTGAGTAAGAATAACATTTGTGCACTGTTCCCTGCATTACGTAACTGATTACCGAACCTGACCAGAGGTTTTATCTACATGTTTTTCGAAGTATGCTTAAGTGATTAAAGACATTCTGCATTTCTCGGTAGTCAAATGACCCTGGGAATTTAACTAAGTAAGCAATGAAGTGAATGACCACTGATTGCACCAGATGATGATCATGCTATATCGCGAACTTATAAAGGTGGGATACGCTTGACGGCAGTCCAGTCCTACAGGAGATCAATTGAGGCCCGAATAGCTCAGTGGTAAAGTCTCTGGCTGCAGCTGTGGGCGATGCGGGTTTGAACCTCAAGCGGGACACCAGTTCCGTAGAGGTTGCAGACACGCCTTGCCAACGAGTGCCAACATATACGAAGACTAGGTCCAGGGCTTTCTGCCATGGAATAGCAATCCGGTGGTTGGATGGTAACGAGGGTGTCATTACATTTACCATCCTGGATTTGATATCTTGCAGGATCATGATTGGGTATTGCAATATGGTACTAAGCTAGCATGAAACAGTTATCCACTGCTCCCAGACTTTCACTAATCTTTCAGTTAAGATTCAATCACTTATGAAAACAGCCTTGAAATTATGAAATCTCTGTGATTATCATTTGACTGTCTGAGATAGCCGTAGTTTGGCAGACTAGTATTTCTGCTTTTTTACCGTTGCTCTACCTGCTGAACTATGAAATCTGACTGCTGACCAGATTTTTATTTCATTTCAATCACTAAGGATTCTGTCCGACGACTACCATGTGAATTCGTGTCGTCTTACTACCGCTTGATAGTATTCACATGGCTGCCCACCAGTCAGGACTTCCCATCCTAATCAAAATGTAACTGAATTAGAATGAGAGAGGGAAGCACCACATGCATTATCCTTTTGATTATGTGAGTGAGATAGCCAGGGTTTAGTAGTCTTGTATTACAGATGATTGAAGGGGAGATGAAAACTGGGCAGCGATGGGATTCAAACAAGTGACCACCGGGTTTCCAGAGGTGTGCTCTTATGAGTCATGGAAAGTATAATTCAGGACCTCGTAGCTCAGTTGGTAGAGCATCGGGCCGGAAACTCAGTGGTCGCTGGTCAGAATGCGGTCGCGGTCCAAATTTTCATTCATCTTCAATCCTCACTCAGTGACAACATACGTGTAAAAGGCTGAAGAAGACATTGAATTCTTATTGATATTGCAGTATAAAATCATCAAAAAATTTAGTTGGTATTTCGACTGGGAAGTGAATCGATTGTTTAGAGAAGTGTTTAACACAGGCTACTTTACACAAGGGAAATAAACGGCGTGATTTTGTTACTTATATTATCCCGGACCGAAATGATCGTCTCTTTTAGAAAATGGACTCCTGTACTGATGCTTCACTGTCTCTGTATTTCAGTTTTATAGTAATAATGGATAGTGGCTGGTAGTGGAACTCATGATGCGCGTTTCGTCCCATTAAGGGCTCGTCAGCTGGATATACCTGCTTCACAGTAACCGATTTTGTTCCTACTAAGACTTGAATTTACCACTGATCGCTCCAAACACCATAGCGTTGTCCATTAGGCCACTGAGTCAAGATAGCCACTTGTTGTACTTCATCATCCTCATTCAACATTAGAACACCGTGAGGTCAATATTCAAACATAAGTTTATGACTATCAAACTGTTTCATACATCTAAGCTTACCATTGTCGTTAATGTGGAGTGGGTAAGTATCTTATATTTCGACGTATTTAACAACTGACAGGTGTAAGTAGACAGGATACAACAGGAAAGAGTAGCTTAGAAATGCAGTCAAGAGTGTTCTAAGACTGTTCTAAAGCTGTTTCAGAAGCAGATGAATCATCAGACTACGGTAGATGCATATGATAGAGAACCATGTTTATAAAAATTTTGACCGGTACTTATAGCATAGGAAAGTGAAGCTCTCATGACGATGTCCAGGCACGACATTAAACGTTTGCTAACTAAACTACCAGTTCAGAGAACAAACCACTTTGAACAAATATATTTATTATTAGCTAAGTGTTTAGTAGGAACAGCTCACTGAAACGATAAAAGATTACTCTCGAACCTCAGTATAAAAACTGTTGGGTTTATCAAAACAATGACCATATATTATTTGAGGCTTCACATTACATCTTTAAGGGAACTCTGTGCTTAAGTTTACCTTGGTGATTGTTTTGATAACTACGCTAGTCTAATGTAAAGGTATGCTGCTATGTTAGTTGGTTGGAAGCAATCATCAGGAAGCCGTGCTTCACCCAGGTTTCGTGCTTGTTGGCACTCGTCAGCAACGCTTATCTGCAACCTCGACGAGATTGATGTCCAGTCTGAGATTCAAACTCGCGTCACTTACTGTTGCCTCCAATTGGCTAACATTCACCAATGTTCACAGTCATCATAAGCTTTCTAAACCGCTAGTCACTTTGCAAATATGATCGATAGAATTCGGCCTGTACTCAAGACTAGACAAGATGAAACTGGTTAGTCTGTCGTGACCTGTCAATGTATGCTACTATGTCTTAACTGTTCCCTTAAACCCTTGAATGTCACAGTTTTATTTCAAGGGAGTTGTGGGGATTTAGAAATATTCTCAAGTTAGTATTGATCGTAGATTGATATCAGTTGGAGGAACATTAAAAGTCTGGGAGCACTGGACAACTGTCTCGTCCTAGTATGGGACTTCTGAGCAGTGAGCACCCACCACCCCACCCTAAAACGATCCAACCCACCACCTTCACGTTCCGTGGCCACCACGTTACAACTGAGCCACTGGATCGGAATCCAGTGATCCACATTTCCAACTTCTGTCAGTTCACGACATCGCGCGACAACCACCCAATGTCATCGTTGGGTGTTTGTCCTCACGACCACCAGGTTTGCCTCATTGGTCATGACTTCTCATTGGAACTTCGAGAATCACCTCTCGAAGCGAGTCACCAATGAGCAGCGCAACCCCCTCGAAATACAGCCGAAATGGGGCTCATTGGTGACTCGCTTCGAGAGGTGATTCTCGAAGTTCCAATGAGAAGTCATGACCAATGAGGCAAACCTGGTGGTCGTGAGGACAAACACCCAACGATGACATTGGGTGGTTGTCGCGCGATGTCGTGAACTGACAGAAGTTGGAAATGTGGATCACTGGATTCCGATCCAGTGGCTCAGTTGTAACGTGGTGGCCACGGAACGTGAAGGTGGTGGGTTGGATCGTTTTAGGGTGGGGTGGTGGGTGCTCACTGCTCAGAAGTCCCATACTAGGACGAGACAGTTGTCCAGTGCTCCCAGACTTTCAATGTTCCTCCAACTGATATCAGTTTACGATCAATGCTAACTTGAGAATGTCACAGTTGTTTGACGAGACCATTTTTCTAAACTTCATTTTTATGTAGAAAGGTGATGACAGTTTGCTACGCGTATGAAATGTGCAAGACTGCATCTTCTCTTTGACATAAAAAGTTGTTTTTACACTAGACCATCCATACAGCACCTTTCGCTGCGATACAAATCTGTCTTTCACACTGCATGGTTGCTCAGGAGTAACCATTGTATACTGATGAATCCCGACTGTTGGCAGGATTCTGTAGATTGAATTTCCACTGAGATCACAAACCTACAAGGCACCTTGTTGGTGAATAATTCGCCTAATGCTAGTTGAATGATTAATGTAGACAAGATGTATTCTATCTGGGATTTTTGCTTGTTACTATTTACCAATGAAAAAAGATCTAATAAGCAGCTGAAACCCCATGAGAAAATACACCTGATAATACTAAAATTATTATCATTAGAAAGCTGAATAAATTTGCCTTATATTTTATAGCATGATATCACAAACCAGGAGGTTGGGTTCATAATCAACGCGTATGCACCTATTTATGTAGTAGGACATAGACCTGTAACCTATATAGAGTATCGGTAAACACTCTGACCACTCCAAATACAATGTTAGTAGCATGTCAATAGTAAAGTGTTCATTAGTCTGTAGGTATAGACTGTTTATCAGCAGAAATCATGTGAAGGTTAACCATTTCACAACTATTTCTAAATCAGGATTCCCCAAGTCATTACAGTTCAGAATTCAATGGCAAGTAACCCAAAATACCTTAATATTTGCGCAACAACTGACATGCCAACATTTTCAATTATCAGTCTCTCACG